CTTCCTCATGGAGATAAAAATAATAGAAATATATGAATAACTTTTTATAAATATGGTAAAAGTGATTGAATTTTGAGTCAATCAATGTATTTTTAAATACCCTACAAGATAGTTACAATAATTTAATAGTTAAACAAAAATTTTCAAACAAAAAAGTTGAGAAAATGTCATTTTTCACAATTTTTGGTTTTTAAAATACCAATAATTTCGAAATTTATTATCGAATTAGGTTCAAAAATAGGTCAATCGAAGCGTTTTTTAATGCTCTACAAGTTGATAGCGATAATTTTAAAGTTACTTCTACGTTTTTCAACAAAATGTGCAAAAAAGTCTTATTTTCCAAAATTTTTGGTTTTTAAAAGTTTAATAACTCCGATTAATATGGACGAAAAATGTTCAATTAGGGCTCAAAAGATGCGTCTAAAAAAACTCTACAAAATTATGGAAAAACATTTATAGGTGTCCTAACATTTTTTTAAAGTTATGGGCAAAAAACGTTTTTTTCAAAACTAAAAATAAAAAAAAATTTAGTTAAACTTTATTAATATATCAGAAAGTACTCTCACTTTATGTCCGCAGGTGAGATCTACAATATTTAAAAAAAAATTCAACGCAAAAGCTCTTCATGATTTCGAGATATTTATGAAAATGTGATGTTTACACACACACACACATACGGAATGACATTTTTTAAAAATGTCATTTTTGAACTCCTGAGGTCAAATAACATAAATATATGTCAAAAAATCGAACTTGAAAAATTTTGGTATTACAATACTATCTCTATGAGGAAGTAATAATTAATTATAAATTAATTATAATTATAATATATTATATTATATTATTATCATAATTATAATTAAATTAATTATAAACTCTTTGGAAGGTAGGTACTTTATTTCATTAATATACCTAAAAAAATTATAATTTTGTATTAATAATTTAATAGTGGAAAATCTGTCACTGAAATAATTTCTCCCATTTTGAAAATAAGATTTTATAGATTCAAGACTGTATAGGTGACGGATTGTAATTTAAGAAATATGTAAGGAGAGAAATTAATAAAACTAAATAAATAGATCATATTATTATTAATAAAATATTTATAATGGTGTAATTATAAATTTATAAATAATAATAAAATAAAAGTTCACTAAATTTTAAGAATTGTGAGATAAGAGTAAGGGCGAAAGAAACTTTTACCTTCTACTTTCTTCTTCCCTAGTTTCGTATGTACTCATGTTAGTCAATAGCTGGAATTACTTCTGTAAATATTGTAAGTCAGAAAGTTCGGTGTAAAACTTGAAAACTACTTTTGCGCGTCACGTTTAAACCACGTGTTTCTAAGAATCACTCTTAATTTAAAATTTTTATTTTTACAGGTGAATGTTAAATTCATTAGCGTCAGAATTTCTAAATAAATTCTAAATCGATACGACTATATGTATTATTTTGACGAACTTGAGTTCAATAATAATATTGATTTTTTGAGTTGTGAAGTCACTTATAAACTGTTTTGTTATAAAGAGAAAGCAACTAATTGAATTTTAACCAACAACCGAGCATTTTGACCTCAAACAACATCCCACCGTTGCATTGCACAGGTAATTTAATAGCTTTTCGAATAATGGGTTGTTGGCTGAAATAAGATTAGTTGCTTTTCTTACAGATCACTTTAAGTGACGTAACACCTCGAAAGAGCAATGTTTTCAATTAATATAATCCTGCACGAGTAAAAAAAATTTTTGTTTCATTTTTTTCGCTTAAAATATCAGTATTATTGAGAAAAACATGAATTGTTCGATTGTCAACGAAGAGCTTCAAATTTATTAATATCTATATGCCTCATAACTGACTGATTTTTTTGAATTGTTTTCATTTTTTTTGGTCTCTGAATCTGAATCTGAAATAAAAATTATAAAAATCAAAATGACGAATAAAAATAATTCAAATTTAACTAATTTTGATAAAAATGCTAATACGGGGGTTTTTAGGGTCGCTAAATCCGAAATAGTAGTCAGAATGTAAGGTTTAAAAATGGTTTTAAAAATAAATAATCAATAACTAGAGAAACTTGAAATCAACTTTTATGTAAATTTTAATGCAATTCTTATGTTTCTAAAAGAAGAAATATTTGGAATATAGATTTTTATTTCGAAATTACCACACATTGTAGCAATGTTGTAACTTTATTTTTGTATACCCGTATTATATCAATTTTAGTATAAATAGATTCTGAAATAAAACAATTTGTTAAATTGTATTAAGAATAAATGAAAATGAAAAAAACAAGCTTTTCAACTTTAAAATGAAGTCTATGAAATGGCCAAATGAACAAAATCTGAGATTCAAACTTTGACCTAGTCGAGGAACGGCCTAATTGTCTAGAAACACAATTGTTTGAAAATTCAATTGTTCAAAATTATAATTGTTATAGTAACGCAATTACTCTTTTTATAATACAATTATTAAAAAAATATTTTTAAACAACAATCGTTGACAAAATTGTAATTATTTAATTGATGATGAATTAATTGATGAAAAGTACTTTATTATAATAATTAGACAAATGTATCTATTTCCTTTTTCTTTGTTACGATGTATAATAATTGTTTTCATATTTTTGTCATTTATTTATATTTCTTTTTTTTCCGAAAATATTTTTATATAAATATTTTCTCTTCGTATACACTATTTTCCAATGGAGTGACGTCTGTTTCGATTCGATATGCAAGGTGAAAACAAATTTAACAGGAACAAATAAAGCCCTTTTGAATGGACGCTTAATTGACTATTAAATTACAACAAACAAACGTTTGACGCCTTTCAACAAAGTTTTCTAAAGTATATTTGTTGCTGTGGAAAATCATAGCGTAATTTATTTATTTAACAAATAAAAACTATTATAGGTATAAGTGATTTTTGTTTTTTAATTTTTTTCCCCTTCAATTTTATTAATAGCATTTGAAACATTATGACGTCACAATTTGTGCAAATCATGTGTTCTAAAATTATCATTTCATAATATAGTTCAAATACACTTAAATGAAAACAATTTTGATTAATATTACTTATAATAATGAAAAGTAAATAACATTATCCTTGTTTACTTACATGAATAAATAATTTATAAATATTTAACATTTTAGCGGTCAATTCACACGAGCATGAGACTGAAGTCCGCAACGTTTTTAAAAGCAAAAATGAAAAAATTAATTAACTAATATTAAAACGGTTTAAAGGCCATGTAATAAAAAAATTTTAAAATAAGAATGAAAAAATACTGCGACGATTTATTTTATTTTGGCTTCAAATTTACATTATTTTCGAACACTTATCTTTTAAGTAAAAATATTAATGATTATAATAAAATGAAATGTGACAAGATATTAAAATGAATAACAAAAGAATTAATATTAAAAAAATAAATAGAAGAACCATGAAAAATTTGAAAATTTATAAAATAAAATTATGAAACAAAAATATTTTCAATATTCCATTTATTTATGGTTTGATTATTATTATTCCCCTCTGAATAATTAAATCGCCAAGCAGAAAATGAATTTTTTTTAATTTTCATTTATTGCTATATTCAATAATATAATTAAAACCACAAATTTAATATTAGTTACAGTTTGATGCATTACCTAAAATAATTTTTTTCTACAACATTTAATTACTAACGAAAAATGGTTTTTAATTATATCGAGGTGAATATAGAATTAAAAAGAAAAGATAAAAAAAAATTTGTTTCCCTATTCATATATGCATTTAAATTGTCCCGTTTTCAACGAAATTCTATATCGTTAAAGAATAGAGAAAATTTAGGTCGGCGAGATGTTTTTATTTTCACGGAAAATGGTTCTTCTATATGAAAGAGGATATAGTACAGTTGCAACAGGGTTGAATGTTTGTCTATAACTAAAGCCGTGAATTTCTCTCATGAGGATCTTCATAATTTTCTGCTTTAATAACAAAACAAGAAAACAGAAGGAAAAAAACAAAAAATACGTATAAATATATGCTTTTTCGAGTGTAGTAAATATCGAAAATAGAAATTCGAGAGAAACGAAAATAGTGACATTCATTTTATTTGTGATGTAGATTTTCTCCTAATATATAATAATTAAAATTGTTAATTTTGAAAATTGATAATACTGATAATATAATTACGCAATGATTATAATTTTATTATATTTTACAATTATAACAATTTTAATAATATTGTGAGTAAATTTTTAAACTTTTCTATGATTTAATTCTTTATTTAAAAAATTTTTTTTTAATAAATTTTTTTTATAAAAACCGAAGTAAATTAAAATTTTTATTATACTCTACAATTCATTAGAATAACTTGCTAAAATTGTATATATTTTGCCCATAAAACTTGCATTGAAATTGTTGATATTTTTTCATGCATTGAATCATGGCATTTTTATTAACTTTTTTTCATTATTGTTTGATTTTTCAGTAATTTTTGTTCACAAAAGGATCAGATGCCTTTATGTTTCATATAAAAAATGAACAATAACAGCTGTCAGTATTTGTAAAAAAACCAGCTTTTGTTCAAAATTTCCATATCGAATTATTTTTTTTTAAATTAATAATTATTTAACAATTGTTATAATGGAAATTTATTTTTAACTAGTTTCAATGAAAAATTTCCACCATGCTATTTATTTAATAACTAAACAAGTTCAAGGCAAATACAATTTATTAAAAAAATTTTATATAAAAGTGTGTATTTATTATTTTATTAAATTTTGCTCTATAAAATATTCATTAACTTTAATTAAAAAATATTTTTTCTTCCGTGGGGTATTAATTTTTATTAAAATAAAATAATTGAAAATGAGAAAAAATGAATATGAATTTAATATTTTTGATTTAAAAAGAAAGATTTTTATTTGGGTAATTATTTATTTTTTGTAGAAAATTTATGTACGTAATTAGTTCATTGAAATTTTCAGCCTGAAAAAAAACTTTATGCTAAAAATTACCAGAAACTGTCGGGACGAATAAAAAATCCACTATTTTTCTACATGTTTTCTTTTTATGAGTATGACACAAAATTTAATTATTAGATTTCAATAAATTTCACTAAATGTATTTTTCACAATAAGGGAAAAATTATCTTTAATTGAAAAAAAATTAGAAATTCATTATTTAAAAAAAAATTTGTTGTTCTGCGATTGTTAAGTGAACCACAAGTGATAGACGGAAGAGTAATGCAAGCGCAGTAAAGCTCCGGACGTCTGGCGTCTTGGCGCGTCAGCCGTATACTGAAATACCGGCGTCGCGACGCCCGTGCGATTGCGTATATTCACGCATCCCTTTTTGCACCGATTGGAACAATATACATATATGCCTAATATGTGTATGATCTCAAAAGACCATCGAACGACGCAGGTATCCTTTTGTTTCTACAATTCGATTTTATCTCCCATAAATTATGATACTATTAAAATCTTCCTCCGATAAAAATGAAAGAAAATAATATGCATATACTGTTAAATATTTATTGAAATTTTTCATTTTTCAATATAATAAAATCACATATGATTTTTTTTACATTATTCATTTTTATTGTCATTTTTTAAATTATTTTTTATACTTTATTATTTTTATTACTTTTATAATTAGTATAATAATTCTTATTATTATTTAATATATTGAGTGATAAGAGTGATTTTAGAATTTATTATAATAAACATTTTGTCATTTTATTGCTTCGTATTCATTTTAATTCATTGATTTTTATTGGAAGGTCGAATAATAATCGTGCCCAGGTTTTGATTAACATCTATTATCGACTCTCTAAATCTTAATCAGTGGAAGATTGAGAAATAGTGACAACCTGCTCTCTAAATTTGAATCAGTTAAAAATAACTGATTTTGAAGCAAAAAGTTTTTTGGAACCATTAAACATAACCTTATTAATATTTCAGGTCCAACTTTCAACCTCATAACTACCCCTTTTTCGATTTATTTAAAAAAAATAACAGTAAAACTAAAAAAATTTCGATTTTTTTAAAATTAATCGTTGAATAAGTGTAATATTTTTTTACAGCCTACCATTTTCAATTTTTCACCTCAACCCTTATCTCAAAACCAACCCCTAAGAAAAATTAACATATTGAATATTGCCCTCCAATTTTTTATTTTTATAACACAAGCGACTGCAACAAAATAAAATATTCCGTTATTTGAGATCGGGAAGTCATTTTCCGTAGTTTTTGGTGCGATGAATCCGAATCTTAATCGGAAGTAGTAGATATATTTAGGACCGATTTCACCAACACCGATTAAAAGTTAATTAATGATTAAATCCTCAATTAACCAATCAGAAGCCTTTAATATGTCTTTAATCATTGATTAACTTTTAATCGGAAGTTGGTGAAACTGGCTCTAAATGATGAAACAGAGAAACATAAACATTGAAATTAAATTTTCAAAAATATCAATTTTTCGCTGAGAACCATTAAAGATCAACTCCAAATATTTTTGCTATATTATTCCTAAAATCTACACGTGGGGGCGCATGATTATTCCCCAAATGTCATTTTTCCGAAATGTCATTTTACCGAACTGCACTTTTGCGAATAGTCATTTTTGCGAAAAGCCAATTTTGCGAAATGCCACTTTTGTGAATTGTCATTTTTTCGAAAAGCTATTTTTGCGAATTGTCATTTTTGCGAATCGCCATTTTTACGAATTGTCAATTTTCCGAAAAGTTATTTTTGCGAATCGCCATTTTTACGAATTGTAATTTTTCCGAAATGTCATTTTACCGAACTGCACTTTTGCGAATAGTCATTTTTGCGAAAAGCCAATTTTGCGAAATGTCACTTTTGCGAATTGTCATTTTTGCGAAAAGCTATTTTTGCGAATTGTCATTTTTGCGAATCGCCATTTTTACGAATTGTCAATTTTCCGAAAAGTCATTTTTGCGAACCGACATATTTACGAATTGTCAAATTTCCGAAACGTCATTTTTGCGAATTGTCATTTTTGCGAAAAATACAATAGAAAACTTGTAGTTCTATAAATTCACTATTGTATTTTTCGCAAAAATGACAATTCGCAAAAATGACTTTTCACAAAAATGACATTTCACAAAAATATCTTTTCGTAAAAATGACAATTCGCAAAAATGAGTTTTCGAAAAATTGACAAATCGTAAAAATGGCGATTCGCAAAAATGACAATTCGTAAAAATGGCTATTCGTAAAAATGGCTATTCGCAAAAATGACAATTCGCAAAAATAGCTTTTCACAAAAATGACAATTCGCAAAAGTGACATTTCGCAAAATTGGCTTTTCGCAAAAATGACTATTCGCAAAAGTGCAGTTCGGTAAAATGACATTTCGGAAAAATGACATTTGGGGAATAATCATGCGTCCCCTACACGTGAAAATACATAAATAATGCAAAACTGCAGTCCACTAAGCCAAGAATTATGAGGGCCAGGGGGGTAAAATCTTTTTTTTTTTAGTAAATCGTATAAAAAATTTCTAGTTTTTCGCTAAAAGAAATTTAAAGATCAACTCCAATCCTTTTCTCTGTATTTTTTCTGTAATCTACACGTGAAAATAAATAAAAATACCCAAAGCCGGTCCACTAGACTAAGAATTGTGAGAACTAGCACTGGTATATAATTATTATCAAAAATTTGAAAAAAGATTTTATGTTTTCGATGAAAACACAATGAAGATCAATTCTAATCATTTCCGCTATATTTTTCCTGTAATATACACGTGCAAATACATAAGCGTGCCAATTTTTAGTTCTCTAGCTAAAAACTATGAGCGCTAGAGGGTGAAATACTACGCTTTTTTGAGGAAATTTTAAAAAACTTTGAGTTTTTCGCTGAAAAAAATATGAAGATCAAATCTAATCATGTTCGATATATTTTTCCTGGAATCTATACACATGAAAATACATAAAATAAGCAAAACTGCAGTCCAATCGGCCAAGAATTGTAAAAACCAATGGGGGGTACACACTTTTTTCTAAATCAAAAAAAATTTCTAGTTTTTCGCAAAAAAAAATATGAAGATGAACTCCAATAATTTTTCTGTATGTTGATTGAAATCTACACTTGAAAATAAATAAACATGTATAACGCCAGTCCACTAGATTAAGAATTGTGAGAACCAGCAAGGGTTAAAGTATTTTCGAGCTTGCGAATAGAGATTTTTGTTTTTTTATGAAAACACCATGAAGATCAATTCTAATCACTTCCGCTATATTTTTCCTGTAATCTAAGCGTAAAAATACATAAGTATGCCGATTTCCAGCTCTCTAGGTAAAAAACTGTGGGCGCCAGGGGGGGGTACATGCATTTTTTCGAAATTTTCGAGTTTTTCGCTGATAACACTATGAAGATCAATACCAAATATGTTCGCTATATTTTTCCTATAATACATTTTTGAAAATACATATGCATACCAATTTTCATCTTTCAAGGTAAAAAAAAAACTGTGAGCGCCAGGGGGGGGAACATGGTCATTTACCGTAACCGTTTTAATAGGGTTCCTACTGGGTACGGAAAGCTAAAAAGGAGCAACAAAATTAAAAATTTTAAAGTTACTACAAATATGGTTATTGTAAAGGCATTAAAAAATTTACTTTTATCATTGATTATAAAAATTATTATATTCCAATACATAGATGTATAGTAAATACATATAATAATGTTATATATACGACCTGAAATTGTGTAAAAACCGGACAAGGTATACGTGGAAGTTCCAAAAATTTTTAAGCGTTAAATGAAAGAAAAATTTTCTTTCAATTTAAATGTTTTCATAGATTTCTAATTGAAATAAAAAAAAATTAAATTTTGCAGCTTTATAAATTATTTTTAAATATGTGACGTAATATTATTAGAATTAAAATTTGTTTCAATTTTCCCAGAATTTTTCACAAAACAATTGTCAATTCATTAGTTAAACTTTGTTTGTTAATATCCGAGCGTCATAGAAAATCCCGGGTCCCTACGCGGAGAAAAAAATTTTGGTTTCTACCAACCGGAGACCCCGGTTAAAACTACTTGACCGACACGGGCGTTAACATAACTTCTGATACCCAAGTCAGCACAATTTGACCGCCAGGCAGTTTTGGCTTTGCTGCCTCAAGTAGTGTCAATGACACTAATTTTATTTGTTTTGTATAATTTTATTAAAATGTTAAAAAATATTATAAAAAAAATATAATTATCATATTTATTTGCATGAGTTTTAATTTGTTTGCTTACTTAAATAACAAATATTTTACAGCATAAATAAAATAAACAATTCAGATAAGAGAAAAAGGTAAAAACGACAATTGAAACTTGAATTCGAATTATAATATACCTTTTAATTTTGTAATACCGTTTACATTTTACTTAATAAATAAATAAATTCCTGGATTTCATGTGCGAGTTTCATGTTTTTTTCACTTCCACTCCGATGTATATATGTACAAAAATTAATAAGTAAACACATAAATAACAAATATACGAAATATATAAAATAAATAATTTATTTACTTTATATTAATAAAAATTAAATGTAAGGAAGATTGGGGAATTGTGGGCCACACTTTTTTAGCTCAATATCTTACACACAAAAATTTTTTTTTCAAATTTTTCGTGTCAGTAGGAGGTATAAACTAACATATATCATAGTCAATTTCCCAAAATTATCACTTACCTTAAACAAATTTTAGTTTTACCAAAGAGTGCAATTTTATGATTTTTAAAAATGTTGGGAAATTGTGGGCCACTGCCTAAATTAAGTTCAAAATCAGAAATAACGATGAAATATATATTTATTAAATGGTTAGAAATATTAAAGATGTTCTAAATGTTATTAATTATTAGCGTTTAAAATTAGAAAAGAAAAAGTAAGAAAATTAAATTAATCGGAATCACAATTTGGACAACTAAAATTGGCTCCATTAATTACAAATTTTTAAGTGAACAGCTTTATCGCATAAATCGCAATGAATCAAATTGTTTTTGTTAAATTACTGTATCTATGAGTGATTTTAATAATATGTACCTGCATTGTGCAATTAAATCGCCAAAAACAAGCAATAAATACTTCAAAAGTGTCCCACAATTCCCCAAATGCTTCATTTTATAAAAAGCTTTGTTATTATTTATTCATTTTAATTTAATGCAAAATTTCTTTTTTGAATCAAAGTACCAATGCCACACAATAATTAAAAAAATATTTTCCATAATTTTTTATTCTTGAAAATCCTTGTAAAAATAATAAAAATATAAAAGGCCCAAAATAAATATTTGAATGCAATTTTTCAAGTGATTTCTGTTTACGGTTTATAGGTAATTGTAACGCGTTGTAAAGTAATGAAATGCTAATGAAAAATTTACTTTGGACGAACAAAAGAAAATAAAAAAAAAATTGCGTGATCAAACTTATAAATATTATTAAATAATTGAGGTGGCCCACAATTCCCCAATCTCCCCTAAATTAATAAATAATTAAAAAAATATATATCACAATTCAATCAATAAATAATAAACAAATTTATAATTTTTTATACATTATTTGTAATTAGTGAAAAATTATATTCACATCTTATACTTGTAGAACTTGATCATCAAAATATCGATAATATTTTCAGAATTATTTATTTTTTATTTATCCTTACTTTTTCTTTATTTTCGCTTTTATTTTTTGTTCTTTTTTTGTTTTTATTGCTGTACACTGTTTACTAACATTATCTTCCACTGTTGTTAGCTCCATGCTTTTTTATTGTGTTTTTGATTATTATTGTTATTTTACGACTATTTTCTTTCTGATGGAAATATTTTTTTTATGAAACTACTTTTGGCTTCCGAAAAAAATGGGATTTCTCCTATTTTTATGATACGAAATAATTTTTCTTTCTTTCTTTTTTTTTGATTGAAAATTCGCTTTATAAAAAATTCTCTATGTAATAGTATATGGCCTTGTTTGTTTACATTTTCCATTTCTCCTCCTCACCTTCTTTCTCTTTCTCCCTCTTTTTTTCTCTATTTTTTATAAGTGATCTTTGTGGATAAGAAAAAATATTGTATTTCAATTTCAATGTCTACTTTAGAATTTGCTATGTATTCATCGTTATATGAAAATAATAGGGCGTTGCAATTGTATATGGTAGACAAAAGTGGAATTGATATAAAAATAGAATATATAAATGTGGGACATTCTTTTTAATTACTAAATTAACGCACTATTTTCATGTTGAAATCAAAATTGGCAGTATATACACTTGTGATAATTGATAATATTAATGTTAACAATAATTTTATATAATGAAATAAAATAAAGTACAATAAAATAATTAAACTTAAACTATTATTACATTATTAAAAATGATATTCGAATAGAACTTAAAATTGAAAGTTTATTTTGTCTCTCGTTAGTTGAATCCTCAGGCTAAAAATATTATTTTACTCCCTGGGGACAAAAATAGTCGCTTTAACCCCTAGGGTCAAACATGAATATTTTCTTCTCTCCCTAGAATATTTTATCCTTTCAATAGGTCATTTTATCCCCTGAGAAAAACATGAGCCAATATTAGAAAATGTATTTCACTAGAAGATAAGAAATTTCACCCCTATTTCGAGGGCGGTTATTTGAAAAATGAATTTTTAAAACTATTGTTTTCTTATTTTTTCATCACTGCTTTAATTCAAACAATATTGATGACAAAAGAATATTAAAAAATATTCTAGAAAAAGTTTATTAAAAATTACAAAAAGTTAAAATTTAATTTTGAAATATAAACGCATAATATTAATTATTAAAAAAATATTTTACAATATAAACTTTCATTCAACATTTAATATAAAATTGATTTATTAAGTTTGGTATGTTACTGTTTCAGAATTCGAGACTTTATATACAGGTACGTTTAGATAAAGATTTTTTTGTGGTAATTCTGTCGCAATCCATTCTATGTTTCATTAAATAGTAATTAAAATAAATTGACATTTTTATTATTGTAAAAATAAATGAAATATTTTTAGCGAGTCTCTGCTTCATTGAACAAAATCAGAGACAATTTAATTTTCAATAAACCAATTTTTCCCATGCGCTCTTTCTCTCTTTGTTAATATTTTCATTTCTGCTTTCAATTTAGAATAGTACATATTTTTTTATTCTTTATTGAAAAATTCTTCTAAAAAATAATATTTCTTGAAATTAAACCTAAAAGTACCTAATATTAAAAAATAATCAACTTAAATATATTTAGAAAAATGGAACTTGATGATTTTGCAAAAAACAAATTTACTAACTAATTATTTCATAATATTAAGACAGAAAAAAATAATTCCAAATTTTGTTCCCTTAAAATATGCCCGTAAAAGTGTAAATAATGTTTTAATTTATTATTTATCTGCCTTTTTTCTTTATTATTTCTTTCCTTACTAATTAGTATTTATTTATAAATATTAAATTAAACAAATTAATAAAGTAAGAAATAAAAATCTGTAAATAAAAGAAAATAAATTGTTTTTCCTGAACGTGGAGTACACGTATGTGTATGATGTTTAAAAGCGTTACACGTGCATCAGGTGGGTAAAAAGTTTTTCATTCCGGACGTGAAATTACTCGGAAAAGTGAAAAAGAAATTTTATGACCAAAGATATGAAAAGTGTCGTTAACTTTTCATTTTTAAACAAGAAACGATATTTATTTATATTGTCCAATAAATAAAAAAGGGGAGAAAAACGTTTATAATTTTTTCCATGTACTTGTAAAATACTTAAATCTGTCTCCTTTTTAATATAAAAGTAGCTATAATAACTAAAGAAAAGTATAAGTTTTTGATGGGGGGACAATGTTTGATGAAAAGTTTCTTGAGGAAGTTGCCTTTTGACGGGAGCGGAAGTTCGAAGATCGTGAAAAGCTGATAATATTCACAGATCGGCACCGTCCCTGAGCTTGTATCGATCGCCCAGGAGAAGGTCGGCCAGGCAGTTTTATCAGGAGCAAGGCCAGTCGACGTTCCTTTTATTAGGGCGCACCATTAATTTTTGATACCTTCCTGCTGACTTGAATGACATTCGTAAACATTGAGGTGCCCGCTCCCCGTGCGCCTTTTTATTGCACAAAAAATAGTGCTTGAAAGAATGCTAAATATTTGTCCATTTTATCCAATTAGCGCGACACGCTAATACTGCTTGCTGACTTTATAATTTATTCAACATCAAGGTAGCATTTCTCTTCATGTGTATAGAAAATATCCCGTTTTTACACTCAGTTTTAAAACTGAATTTCACACACGGAAAGTTGTGTGGAAATTGACTCTTTTCATAACAGTGTGGAAAGTATTCATTCTATAAACTACTTTTATTCGAAGTACTTGTATTAATTGCTGGTCTTGAAAAAGGCCATTTGATGGTACTTTTAAGCTAACTTATTTTGTGGCCTTGAAAAAGGCCGATTGATAAAGTGTGGCCAGTTTTGTTAGTTTCTATGGTTATAGTTATTAGCTCAAGTTCGAACAGTAGTATTGAAAATAATACTATTTAGTATGTTTGGCATCATGAAATTGGCATAAGCATACTTTGCATTTTGCTCATATTCGTTCAGTTTTGCAATTCGCAATGTCGCATTTTTTATAAATACCAATGTTTCATTCATGGTTACTAATAGGAGGCGTGTTAACAAACTTTTGACGTTTCGGATTTCTATTACTGATGAAGTTATCAATGCACTGTTAAAAATTGGAGTCAAACTTTACACCAAAAAGATTAAATTGATGTTGTTTTAATCTCACAAAGTGTGAATGCTTCCATTTTATTGATTTTTTAGTTTTTAGCTAATCCAATCAAATTATAGGAATAACATTTTTTGAGATTAAAACAATATAGTTTTCAATCTTTTTGTGCAAATTTGGAGTCCAATTTTTAACAGTGTATTGATAACTAAATTGTAAAATTTACAAATTTCCTGTATTACACACTTTGTACCTTCTTTGTTATCTGAATACAATTTGTTGTTCAATGACCGTAGCATTTGTGATAGCAGACTGAATCAATCTGAAGAATAGAGACCAAGACAATTTTTTTATCTCTAATAGATGGTGATAAAGCATTACATTGTTGATCGTGAAAAACAATTCCTTCTATGTTTTTGTTATTCATGGAGAATGCTTTTGAAAACGAAAAAGACTGTTTTTTCTTCTCATGGTATCTTTGCATTGGTATTTTTGGTTTATTTTTATACTTTGTAGAAAGAATAGAAACAGGCTCACAGAAAAAACTCGGACTCATTTTTGTTGCAACTCAAAATGAGTCTATGTTAAATGACATAGAACTCTAGATCCTAAACAAATGAATTTAGAGGACCTACAATCGCTGTACCTGCTTTACCTTGATATATTACAAAGCCATAATGGGTTGATGTAAACATTTGCCGGTGAATGTGCGTATTATCCAAAATAGGAGTGAGTAGATACGTAAATGTTAGTATAAATATTCCTTTTTTGGTTTAATGCACTTTAACTAGTAAAAAGAACACATTTACTACAATGTGTTAAACAAAGTCATTAGATCTTATTTATTTTAACAAGGACCAGAGCTATGACATTTAGAATTATATAAAAGGTTTTCTGCTTTGCAAGTCCAGCTATTTGTATCACACTTTCCTTTACAGAAGCATTTGTTAAATTCCTGTCCGCCGGTTAAGGATTGAGTTAACAATTTCACGCAATGTTACTTTCTGGAGAACATTCTTGTCAATTACAATAAAAATTGCTACATTTTCAAAGTTTTCAGGAACAGCTTCTTCGGAATGGAATGTTTCTAAAATTTGTGATTCCGATGTCGCTTTTTTTATTATTGCTTCTCAATTTTCTTCCATGTGAATTGAGCTGACTACTCCCTCTCGTATTTCTAATTTATCATTATTTATTATTTCTTCTAATACTTCTTCGCATTTATGTGAGTTAATCAAACTCTAGTTAATCAAATCTACCTGGTATCTGGAATTAAATTCTGCAGCAACTATGGGTTTTACGACTAAGCCTCGCTTTTTGCATTTCGATTTCTTTTGTTACGATATAATTATCATTAAACATTTTTTGAGCTAAATAATTAATTTTCTGATTACTTTAGATATTCTGAACTGTTATTCACAAAATTGACATGCTCAGCTTCGTAGAAAATAATAAAATCCATTTTTAATACTTACCAGCAGAAACAAATTCTTCGTACGCACTGCTACCTTTTTGGAAGTAATATTTTGGTAAGTCCACAGAACCGGTCGACTTCAGGTTACTAACTATCACCTTAGACTTGAGCGTGAACAACTCTAAAGTTAGCCTTTTTCTAGGAGCATATCTACGGATTGAAATAAAATGAATTAAAAATGTGCGTGATTGTTAAAAAGCGTTATTATAATTCTTATATTCAAATGCCACATTCTATCTCTAATTTATAATGTCAAAAAATTATTATTTACAAAAAATTTTTCATTATTAATTCATTTAGTTCATTATGAACGTATCAGTCGATGTAAAAAATTGAATAACTTTTCATTTGTTATTTGTTTAAACTTGCGTCAAAATTAAGATTATTCAACATATAGAATTAAAAAAAATAGATGACAAAATGATGTTAATATTAATTTATTATTATATTAATCATAAATATGTTAATATATTAATTGTCTGAAACAAATAGTTATAATGAATAATAAAATCATTCATGTTTTGCACATATTACAAAAATATTTATATAGAAAACAAAACAAGAAAGAAATACACATTTTTAATTATATTTTTAGAAAAAACTCATATTTTCGTTTTTGGCTTTTATCTCGCACGTCATTAAATTAAAATTAATCACGCAAGAAGGTAATTGTTCTAAATTAAATTTTGAAAAAAATTAATCATAATTGAGAGGTGTGCATTTAAATTTAAAATTTTTATTTTAATAAGTGAATATCGATCAATTCCGTGGATTTTCCCATTTATCCATGTAACTGGATTTTTATTATAATAAACTCCTTTCTCACTTTAAAATTCCATATTCTGTAAATTTTTACACTAAAGCAACTAAAATGTGATCGGCACCCGGCATCCACAAGTCGAAACATGAAATTCATAATGTATGCTCTGATCTTAAAGATTGGATTTTAAGAAACCCAGGAGGAAAAGTCGGACGAATGTCGGATTATACAACCGCCTGGGATCCGCGCCCGTACGGACCGCCAGCACCGATGGTCTGTACCGATTCGGATCCTAAAATGCAACCGGCGCGGAACAGATTAGGCTCCGACTTTTGGATCCGCCTTTCTACTTTCGTCAGTACTGGCGCGGTACTGGATTTGTTCCGCCTGCAGATTTCATTCTTCTACGCGCGTCGGAAGAATGACGGATGTTAGGTCTGTACTGGCTCGGTGCTGGGGCGGATCCGACTGCGGATCTCGTCATTTATTGTTATAGTTTACATTATCAGTATAATCATAAATTTATTTTATTATTATAATTAATTATTACAATAACTAATTGCATTTATTATAATATTATTATTAGTTAACCAATAAATAAATTAATAGTATTCATGCAAAGGAAGAATATAAGAAACTTAATTTTTTCATTATATATATAAAAATCCAACTTTATTAATGTGCAATTAAATAAATAATTTTTAATAAATAATATATTAATTTGAAAGAAGTAAAATATATTTAACTTGAAAGAAAATGTGATCAATATATTATAATGCCTACAATAAATAACATATTAAATACAATATATAAAAAAGAGATTATTATTAATTAATTTATTATTAATTAATTAATAATCTCTTTTTAATTTAAACAATATATTAAGTAATTATTTATTGACACTTTTCTGCAAATTAAATAATTAAAAAAATGTGTTGTGCATTAAAA